TGTGCAGGCCTTCACCCATTGGTGCATCAGGGTTCGTCCACAAAGTTCCATCTTGCTCTATTGCGGAAACTGGTCCGCACATCTATGATCTATGGCAACATTCAATTTCTAGGAAATTGAATGTTGCCATAGATCATATTTATATGAAACGTAACGTGACACCAACATAAACCAGCAACATTTTCACATTCAATTTAAAAAAATAAAAACTTATTAAGTTTGCAAAACGTAACGTGACACGTTACGTTACGTTTATGTAGGTGTCACGTTATGTTTATGTAGGTGTCACGTTACGTTACGTTACGTTTATTAGGTGTCACATTACGTTACGTTTATATAAGTGTCACGTCACGCTACGTTTATGTAGGATCTTGTGGAATACATTCCTATCTAAATAGGACTTCAGACTCTATAACAAATTACATAGGACTTAGCCTACCATAAGTATTTGAAAAAAGACTTATAAGTAAGTCTTAAATATTTCATTTACATTTTATGCAATTTTTACTTTAAATCAATGACACTTGTGCAAAAAAAAAATTTCAATTTGATGAGGTACAACAAGTATCTCTTATGTTTGGTGCAATTTTTTTCCTTTTTTTTTATGTTAATTTTTCTAATGTATCAACAATATTCACATGTATAGTATATATATTATTTTGTTACAAGAAAGTGGTTAATATGTATTAGTAATTAGATTATAATGCGGGCTAACATCTTTTTATAAACTCAAATATGAAACTTCACTCACCTTAGCACTTAAGTGCTCTCTTCATGATCACTTGGGCAATTACTCAAGGTCAAACACTTACCATTTATTTTTTTGTTGACAAATACAATACGTTAAAAATACTATAATTATTGGATTAATTTAATTTTTGTTACAGATGATATACATGAAAAGTCCTACAAAATGAATAGTTCATATCATCGAAATGGGATTCGTGATGACAGCCTGAACTGGAGAGAATTCTTTTCTTTTTTAAAATAGATCATTTCTTTTTTGTGTGATAACATAATAAATTAAGGCCTTGTTTCGGAAGTTGGCTATTTTAATAAGTTATTTTAGTTTTTGATTATTTTAGTAGGTTAAAATTTTTATGTTTGGGAAGATAATTGAATGCGATATTTGTAAAAAAAAAAAATGAAATAATTATGAATTTGATATGCTATTTTATTTTATTAATTATTTTAATCTATTTAATCTTTTTTATAAATTTTAACTTAAAAAATCTAATTTTAATCTTTGCCAAACCAGACCTTTGTTTCGATTTATCAATTTGTTCTCCTAGACTTTTTGTTTGCCCTTTAGTGTGTGCACGTGTCCAATTGCGTCCGTAGGCGGTGGGGTTCCTTGCCGAGTCACTCACCTAATTTGGGAAAAATTAGAAACTATTTCTAAAGTATCATGTATTCTTACACCAAAGATCTTCTGGAGTGTTTTTTTCTTAAAGTGGTATATTGTGTGGTTGAGATTTAATACTAAAAAATTGATGTGATTTGTCATTAAATCTCAACCATACAATGCAACACTCTAGGAAATTTTAGGAAAATTTGGTTTGTAATATATTGGATAGCCTTTTCTTTTCTGTGGACTGGTATAATAGGTTTCAAAATGTTACAGCGGGATGATAGGTTTCCGAATGTAGGTAGGAGGTGATTCCTACAATTGCACGGATCATTGTCTTGTGACTTTGGATAGTTATCCTTTTAAATGAGGTCCTACCCCCTTTCATATTTGAGAAGAAGTGGTTGGCTAAAAAGCATTAACACTTCTAAGAATGTAACATATCCGTGTTGGACAGTTCAGAACTGAGCTCTGAATTATATGTTGGAACAATGTGGTTTTGTATTGTTGGAGAAACAATAAACCAAAATTTAGAACCCAAGGCTTTTCTATTTGAGTTTTGTGGGTAATGTTTTGTGCTTCTGGTTCACTTCTCTTTTATGAAATTTCGAGCATCTCCCTCTGATTATCATGTCCAACGAAAGTCAACCCGATAAATTTATCTTTTTATTGAAAAGTTCGGCACTTCAAAATGTCATGATATTTATTTTACTAAAAAATGATATATTACTTTACATTGTGAATAGCTTGATTGCTTGTGATGTTACGTTTACTTCGCATTTTCTTGGATTGACTTTACTAGTAGAATCATAAAAGGTAATTATTTACAATATTGAAAGAAATTTGCATTGTATAGGGTATGAGCCTAGCTGTTTACACTGCAGTTGATTAAGGCCTAAATGTACATCATTGAGGCCGTTAATTAGAATCTCTTAACTTCACTTGCTGGTCGAACTGTATATTTTATGTGTGTTGAGTGTCAATCAGGTTGTACATCGTTGGAGCATAAAATGAGCAAAAAGACAGAATTTGGGCAGAGTTGACTTTCCCGCACGTGCGTTGACTTTTTCCGCACGTGCGTTGACTTTTTCTGGGAAAGTCAAACCGACGTTTTAAACCTGTTTGGACGAGATTGGAAGCATAAAAAGGCAAGTAAAATGCTGAATTAGCGTTCTGAAATTGTTTGGACCTAAAGAGGGAGGCTAGGGTTTGAAAAAAGAGGAAGAAACAAAAAGCTTCAAGGATGTCTCCCATGGTGGTTCTTTCTCCTTCTACCTCCTTCCACTCCTCCATGAGTGGCTAGTCTTCTTTTCTAGGGTTTTGATGAAACCCTAGCCATGTAATTATGTAGTTTTCTTTTTTGATTTTATATTATGTAAGGTTTGAACCATTGTATGGTGTTTTAGAAATTCTTTATATATAATTTTCATTATCTTTTCAAATATTTGACTTTCTGTGATTGTTGAATATTATCCATACATGAGTTTTCTATTCCTTCACATTCAAGGTATGGGACGAACCATGCTACGAGGAACGAGTCGTATCACTACCCGAGTTTAGAGTGAACGATTCGTATTACTTGAGATGGTTCGTGCTCGTACATTGACCTGGATGTGCACCTACAATTCTGGTAATTTTCTCTCATTTCTCTTTACTTTTCCATTGAGGACAATGTCATATTCAAGTTGGGGGATGAGGGTTATATTTTATTTTGTGCATTCCTATTTGGCTCATAATTCATGCTTATACCTGC